CACAGACTGGAGACATGAGGAAGATTGAGCCGAGGTACAGCTTCCTCACATCCCACCACCCTAATTATGGATCTCTGACCTTGACTGGTAAATGACTCGTGAAAGCCTCTGATCATTATTATTAATTATTTCTTCTTTCATTTGCAGACTATTAATACCAGGAAACCAGAAACACAACAGGAAGATAAACAGGAAACAGGACAGGAAACCAGAAACACAACGCAGAAGGTTTACTACAACAAGTCCAGGTGAACTTCAATCAACATATTCCTGAATGTTAAATTGGTCTTTCTCGATCAAAGCGTCATTGACAGATTAAAATGGAGAGCGGTGCAGGAGAGGCTCCTCTGAACGGACTGTTTTCATGTTAAAGTAACATTAGGAATTCCCTTTGTAGTGAGACAACTGATGAAATGCAATTAACAGATACTGCACGAGCTCTTTTTGTGTGTTTTAGGGGTAATTTCACCCTCCCTGTAGAAACACTGACAGAGTTTTCATAGGCTTGTCTATCCTTGTCACAATGTACGTTTCATCTTCTGAAAGACGATATGACATGGTATCCAGAGACATGGATTTCCAAGGTTCTGATTTATTCATGAAGCGCAAACTGAAGACCTCAAAGAATTTATTAAATTATCAATACATATATATATATATATCATTTTTTGTGTTTCTTCAGAACGCATCTTAAAACATGAAGTCTGACTTGGAGATATCCCCAGATAATGAAGAGTTGGATTCGCTCAGCAAGGAAACCCCCTCAGTCTGCCAAGGAGAAACTCAAGAGTCTTTGACTAATCAGGACAAGGTACAGAGGAAAATGCCACTTTTAAACTGCTCTTTTTCTTCTCCCAGTATAAATACTCATTTATTAATGGAACATGCAATTACACTGCGTTCGTCTCGTATCAAAACGTGCCTGTCACCGCTGCCACTTCTTTTAAAACATGCCAGACAGTAACACAGGTTCTGAATACCCCATTAAGTGGAATATTTGGATGGTGACAGAGAGGTTTTTAAGAGAAGAGAAGTAGAAAGATGGAAATAACTGTGTATATTCCATCCAATAATGTTTTCAGGTCTGAAGAAAGACCCAGTGACCAGTGGTCAGATCTGTTGACCCCAAAGAGGAGAGAGAGAGAGCGTGAGCGGCCAACACTAGAGTACAGTTAATATTGTGTCACTGTTCAGTTTAGAAATGACTGAAGGGGAACAACTAAATGTGATTTTGTTCTTCAGTGTCACTGAACACAGCTTTGAGTTGGGAAGGAAATAAGAATATGAAGAAACCTATAATGTGGAGATTTAAATACCACTGAGTTTATAGCATTTAAATATTTTACAACCAAGCCCATCTAATGTACTTGTACCAAATGGCTTTTATATGATTGATTTTTACAATTATTGATGTTTCTTTCATCCTTTTCTTTTGTGATCACTTTAAAATGATGTTGGATTATGCATCTGCTGTCTTTGATTTTATATTTTATATTATATACTTTGCTGTTTTAGATATTTTATGAAATCATTTGTCGTCTTTGATTTGAGTTTATTTTGTATAACATAAATTGGGGTATTTGATATGACATTTAACGAATTTGCCTATTATGTTTTGTGTTGATGTTTTTATTTGTTTTCTTTGAGAAGCACTTTGTAATGGCTGTTTTGAAAGGTGATATAAAAATAAAGTTATATTATTTATCTGTCAGGATTAAGGTGGGTTTTGATTTCCCTGTTCTGTTCTGTTCCAGACTGAGAAAACAGTCATGGTCCTCACAGGATGACATCTAATGACTTTATCCTATTTGTCTACAAATTGCCACGAACACAACAGCATCAGTTGTTCATTGATTTTGTGCTAAATGACATGGCATTTTTACTGTGACCATTTTGGCACATTTACAATATCAGGGCCATTAGCTTTGCTGTATAGTCTTAATAATCTTTTAGTTTTCAAATAACCAGTGTTTCACACCAGATGTTCTGACGTCTGTTCTGTCAGAGTACGTTCTTGTCTCGGTCGTACTTCATGATCCACGCATCTGATCTGCCTCAAATGTAACCAACATAAAATTAGATTGTCAATTCTTAATTTTCAGCAAATCTGCATTTCAGCATATCAGTTTTGCTAACCTCATTATTTTACACAACTTGGCTCACTGAATTTGAACTACTTAAATACTTTTGAATGACACTTAATTTACTTAGATATTTAATAATAATAATTTCATGTAAGATAAATATATTCTACAACTAGATAAATTACTTAATGTGAAGTTAAAGTTTTGTCACATTTCTAAATTGATATTAGGTTTTGTGTGGCAGGTTTTCTGCTGTGAGACGACATGGAAGTTATTAGAGATGTTGCAGAGGAGTGCAGCGGCTATAAATCACCACTGATATAGGGCTGCAGCAATGTGGAGAGACTAAAGGTCAGGATGGCTCTGGTCCATTATTGGCTCCTAACACTAAATGGTTTTCAAATTAAATTCCAAGCAATCGATCCTCTAATGATACATTTTCGATGACACACGCAGGTTAAAAGGTTTGGATTCTGACGGATCATGATCCGATCATCAGAACTCTAATGCAGGTTACACACCCCATCTACCACTGAGCGATATCTCACCCAGATTACACTACAAGCGCTTATCTTTCCCTTTATTTCATCCACAATATGACACCTGCATTACAGCACAACTGCACGCCACTTTACTGATTAGATTGTCAGACGATGCCTGAACATGAGGAACAAGGTTCATTCACTGAAATAGAAATCATGGATTGTGAGCACATGTTTTCTTCCAATGGAGAAAATGCTGGACATATGTGCAAATCCAAGAGTCTAGCTTGCAGAGTGCCCTAAGATGACTGCAGCTGAGAGCATGCATCAATTAATAAGTGTGTTTGGCTCAAGGACAAGACCGCCATCAATCACTACAACAGGGGTCAAACATCCAGATCGCAACTTGGCAGGTGCTGCATCCTTGGAGGAGAATCTAACTGACAATAAACTGATATCATAAATACTTAATGTTTCATTGTTCCCCTCAGTAATATTTAAAAGCCTTCTATCAGGAACGCTTGTTATTCTTGTATGTGCTGCTCAATCAGCTAACTGGTCTTGTGTGGTGGTCTCAGACGAGCAGCCTTACAACCGGAAGAAAACAGGCTATCTGCTATCACAACAATGTCTGGGTTTGGTATGATTGTAATTTTTATTTCCCACTGTAAATAAACCCGACATTAAATCAGCTTATTATGTTGTAATTAGATTGTACTTTATCGTCCCCAGCTCTGTGTAGAAGAATTTTGAGTTTAGTTTAATTATTGATGAAATTGGCAGCAGACAGATATGAAAACCTGTCTGGGTGAGACAATAAACCCCCCGAGAGGCTTATTGTTCACAAGCTGCTTCTCTTTATTAGGGCGAACCCGACTCTGTGGGAAGGCACCTCCACTGCAGTGACACAGGAGATTTGACAAGACAGTGGAGCTGGCTGGGCAATAATGATCATGTTCACGCTCCGCCCCCTACCAGACGCTCTGCCCGGCACTGAGCCCCCAATGTCAACATCTGCATAGAATCCTGAGAGCACATCTGGATCACTAATCTCAAAAAACGCAATGCACAGCCTAATGTGGGGGCAAAATAAAGTAAGTAAATGTAAAAGCATTAATATTAATTTGCAGAAATACAAGAGATGACGAGAAGATGAAATTTAGGGATTCGGATTTACTTTTTTTTTTTGTACTTGCTTTTTTCACAGCTGCATCAAGGCAATGGTCTGACACCGTCGTGGCCTGACGTGCTTCAGAGGTGTCTGCAGCCGTCGAGTGCAGCGACGTCCTGCTCCAGAACCTCCAGTCCCTCATCACCTATCAAAGGACCATCAGTCCACAGAAGGTCAAGCCCCAGCAAAGCCTCATCTCGCAGATGGAAAGACGACGGCTGCCAATGAAACAGTGATGGTCTGCCAAGGAGACCCCCTTAAGATTCATTTATGAGAACTGACACCTAATTGTTCCCTGACTTTGAATTCAATGACAAAGAAGGTCATTATTTTTTTCTTTTTAATCAGAATGTTCATTAATAATTTAACTGTACACGTCATTTTACATGGGACACGCCAAAGCAAATGTTAGATTGACCGTGTCCTGTTAGCTCATCTGTTCTGTAAGGACCTGTAGGAAAGACACCCATAAATCATATACAGTGCAAAACTGCAAAGGTCAACAGTCTGTTATGTCTGCCTAGAGTGAAAGTAGAGGAGTTTTGACCAACCTAGTTATAAAAAGGAAAGAAAAGTATAAAACATAGGATTTCATTGTCTTGTTTACATATTTGCAACAGAATAACAAACAAAAAAAAAACATTCACAAGAAGAAAAGTAGAACAATCTTTAAGAAAACATCTGACAGGGGGGAGAAGAGCTGAGGGGATTTTGCTATGATCAAAGTTGGACCTGAGCATCCTGTAGCACTTCAGGCCTTTATTAAGTTTTATTGAATGTGTTCTGAAGATGGTTGCAATTTAAAACAGAGGAATAAAATATTTTGCAGCATTTTTCTCTTGTTATCCTTCCAATACCCAACAAGGGAATCAAGGCATCTGAATGTGAGCCTGCGTACTGGCCTATAGCTACCTGATGATGAACCCTTTAGTGCTACTTCTTTTAGCCCACCCAACGTTCTTGTCTTGCACACTGAAATAACTTGCCCCCCTCCCTCTATTGTGTGCAAAAGCTTTTTATTCAAAACGATTTGAGCTGTCAACAATCCCGCCCTCGTCAAAGTGGATTCCTCCCACATGAAAACAACCTTTATCACAACAACACCCTTAAATTTAGTTGCGCAAAACAACCAGCTCAGAACCCAAAATAACACCCTCCGCTTCCCAGTGTGTCGTGGACTTCAACACGAATACCTGAACCTCTTCATATTTGTAGCTGCTTGAGCGTCTGAGAATCTTTGGCCTTGTGCAGGAGTTTTTTTTATATCTTTGCCATCAGTTCAGCATTCCTGGTTCAGCTTGCAGCTCAGTTGCAGCTCTCTGGTCGCGGCTGGAGTCGGAGCATCGCTTTGCTATCCAGGGGGCGTTCGCCAGCATCGCCACGCCAAAACCCGGGCATTACTTATTTACAGACAGCAGTAGGTTGATCTGAAAGAGATCCATGACAAATTGTAAGTGCTCACCATGACTTTGTTGGTTATCTAACATTTACCCACTGTAGTTGGTCTAAGCAGTAGCAGTATTACTAAAACCATGTCAGATGCCTTTGGGCTGTGTGAATTCCACAGAACCGTACCTGCTCCATAGATGGACATGCGATGATTTGCAGGTCTTCTCCGTTGTATTCCTCCTGAAGCAAGGCGAGCAGTCTTTGGAATACCTGCTGGATGTTATTCTGCAAGGAAAAAAAACATCCTATTACTGAGCGCTGCAGGGAAATTATTACTACATTTCCTTCTGGCCTACGTCCCCTCACTATCTTGTTTCCATGTCAACAGCATAATTTTGTTTCTCTATCATGCAGCTTCACCAGGCATCATGATGAACACTACACAGACAGGCCGAGGATTTCACTGTTCCAGTTCAATCGCACTGACAAATTTAGAGCTACAGCCACAATCCCACCCATTTTAAATAAGAGGGGAAGTCAAACATGGAATTGTTATCTATGTTTCTCTGAAATTGATGGACAGGGATTTAAATAAATGTAAGCCACAGATGATTTCTGATGCTGCAACAGGTTTGTTTACACCTCAGTAAAATAGATCTGTAATGTCTATATCTGCGAGGAAATAAAAATAAAAATGCTTTTTATGTGTAAGTTAAGCCCTTCAGCGATAAAACATGTTATTTAGGAATAAATAATTTAAGGATTTATTGATGGTATGTGCAAACACAATAGTAAGCAAATATAGTATATCTACTTTGTAAATACCATCTGAAAGGATTCTTTGTGTTTAAACAATGCTATGAAAAGAAACTGACTCATGCAGTGCATTGGGTTAGTGTTTCTGCCACCCACCCGGACAGGCTTGAAAAGGATGAACTCTGTGTCTCTATTGGCTAAGTACAAGGACATGCTCTGTAAAGTGCTTGGCAGCTTGCTCTTCATCACACGGTAGGTAGCCATCACTATATCGTTGATCTTTGCTGAAAAGAGAAGGAAAAAAAAAAATATTGAGTAAAGAAAAGAAAAAAAAAACAAAGCCCTCTAGCATTCACTTCTCAAGTTTTGATGAATTGCAGTGTGATGCTAAGTGTGTCCTAAGACAAATCCTACCTGGCTGTGCCCAAGGTTGCTGAGACAGGCTGTATGTGGGACCACCTTGGATAGCCATAGTTTTAAGAGCTGCAACCTGAATGCAAGAGTCAAAACAAAAGACTTAATTTGTGCTGGTTACTGTAATCAATACTGAGAAGAGGCTGAGCTGCAACTCAAAACAATTCAGTTCAGAATTATATAGAGCTGTGCTGACATGAATAGAAAACGAATGCTGCTTACAGAGATGAGCAAAACTGTCCATGTCAGTTGCTCCGAAACAGCTTGAGAGTTTTGTGAGATTTCAGTTTTTAACATGCGACAGGCACAAATGTGGAAAAAATATCTCATGATGAAAAAGAGGTTTCGAACATGTAGAGGACACCAAAGAAGATGTCAACTTGCAAAAACAATGATAGAAGACAGAGACTGAAGTTTTAGACTGAAGAGTCAATGTCGGTATACATGTAGCAATATTTATACATCATGTCCTGACTCCTGCATGCTCTACCCAGACACCACCCCTCGTCTGACCGCTCCTGAGATTTTCCTGTTGTTTTTAATGCCCCTGACACAGACAATCTCCTGCTGTGTTCTCTACATGTGAAAGGCAAAGACTTGAGATGCTCCAGACCCAATTATGCTGACATTTTCAGTTCGTATCTTAAAACGGCTTCAGTGTGGAGGGTAAAAATCATGACAGATACACATATCTTGCAATAGAATTAGATACAAAACATTTACAAAATCCTTCATTGCCCTTCAACAAGTAAATGGCTTTTTAGGTTGAAGGTTTCTTAGGGTAAAAGTAAAAAAAATGAAGGTCAGAATGAGACATTACTGCCTGAGGGTAACTCTGTCTTCGCTCTAACATTCACCTTGGTGAGGAATTCCTCAAGGTTCCCCACGAAGATCTGAGTCTGCTGCTGGATGAACTGCTCACAGCTGAACTTCAGGTGTCGGTCCACATCTTTCTTAGAGTCAATGTAGTGCTCCTTTATCTCCGGTGTTCCCTGGAGACCACAGAGAAAAAGGGCTTCAGCAACTCAAAGTGTGTGAAGTGCACGGTATGTTTAATAAAAAAACAGCAGAAAAGAAAAAGAAATGAAAAAAACACTACCTCCAACAGGAATTCGAGTATGGCATTGTGACTGTTAAGTCGGAAGAATTTGGGAACAGCCTTAGGGTTCAGGATTTTGAAGGCAGCATCTTAACACAAAGCAGAGAGAACACATCTGGGCTGGTGTAGAATTAGAGTGCCCTCTAGTGGTACAACTTTAATATGACCTTGACTGAGATGGGGGTGAGAGGAGGAGGAGGAGCGATTCCTGCCCTGTGAGCCATTGGTTAATGTACATTACAGCGCTGGATTACACTGTAATTTCCACATTAATTGTTGCCACTGGTGCATGTGATAGGCACAAGTTGCTTAATGAGCATGAGAATGTAATGACTGGCTTTATGGAGCTGAACACCAATTTTCCCACCACCTTTAATTATCTTACCTCGTGTTTTCTTCAGGTCCAGTGAGATTTCCTTGATGGCAAAATCGGTGTGAAATGGGGCAATCTGTTCACGCATTATCAGCAGGTGCTTGATCAGGAAAAGTTGTCCATCTATTTGCGTCTACAGAAAGTGATAGCAGACTGTTAACTCCACACCGCAGGCTGCCAAAACAAAAGGGCATCTGCTGACTCTCCAAGCTTCAGAGAACATAAAAAAAGCATGAGCTCTGAGACGATAAGAGATTATGTATAATTAATAACCACTGATTAAGCATAGTTAGAAAGGGATATGTTACTGTGAAACAAAAACATTTATTGCTCTTCTAGAAATAGACATCATCAACATGGGATGGAAACATATCATCAGACCGATGCTGCTGCTTTAATTTGAAGTGTGAGGTAGAAACGTGCCAGTTAGCTCAGATATTGACGGCAAATTTGAAGACGACAGCAGTCAATAAATACAGGACGGTCTGCTGAACACTCTATGGGGTGTAATAAAGCTGTTAAAATAAACTGTAATGACATTCCAGCTACTTTACTTAATGATCCAGTAGCCTGAAGAAATTGGAAAAAAAGAACACATTTTATGGATTGTTTAGGGAACTGATCTTCTAAATGATGTCAAAAACAGCTATTTTGATAACAATCTAAAGTTCAGTAAATAAATAAAATAACAAAGCTCTACTCATAACCGTTGGTGCCAACCTTGTTTTTGAGGATGATATCAGAGGCTTTAAGAAGTGACTGGATGCAGGCAGATAAGGCTTCTTGAGATAAACCCTGGAAGACTGTTCTCTGGAAAAAGACCAAGTCACAGAAAGAAACGCATGAATAACAAATGCAAATGTGGAAAATCTATATATACCACATGGGAGGAGAGTGTAAAGTAGTCGATGAAAAGGGATTGAAGACTCACGTCTATGCATCGGTAAAGCTTAGACAGACAAACCAGTGTCCGTCTGACAGTAGGGTACCACATGCCGTGCAGATCAGCAGGAGAAATGGACGTCTGCAGGCGCGATGCTTCTACATTCCCTGTGTTCATTGTTCAAAAAGGAGGAAAAGCCATCAGGCAACACCCCAAGAGCTGCAAGAAAGTCAGTGTCACAATGAAGACACACTGACCAGCATTACTGTTTCTTCTTCCATCAGGATTCTCAAGCTGTACATCAGAAAACATCGACTCCTGCGTCACCTGCTTCATCTGCTCTTCCTTCAAGCTCTGAGCAATTTTCTGTTTAGCACAAGAGAGAAAAGGCAAAAGGTCATATCAGAAAGGTTAGATGCTGTAGGGGTATGTTTTCTATTTTTACTTCAATAGGGGTTAAATAATTATTGAGACTTCTTAATTAGGAAATCGACAGGTTTAATAGCATGTTGAATTTTGCCTGTAAGATTTGATGTACAGAAAAAAGCTCACATTAAAAACAACTATTTTTTGACACACTGTAAACGTAACAATGTATCAAAATAAATGAATGGATGCAAAAACCAATACATTAACAAAATATAGAAATATTTTATTACATCCATGTTTTGAAAGACTGCTTGAGTAGAGTTTTAGTTGTCGTGTTTTTTCTTTATACAGATAAAGAAAGAGAAATATGCCTCTGAGGATACAAGACCAACCTCCATCATCTCCAGTTTCTCAGGATAGGCCAGATCCCCTGGAGCTGGGTTGTAGCCTGTGATATCAGTCTGGATGTAAATGTGGGTCCTGTAGACCAGCCGCTCTTGGACATCCTCCAGCATCTGCTTCACCAATGCATCAAAAGCCCCCAACTGAGCAGCTGCACGAAGGCACACACGGGTCAATTTACAGTTCAACCTCCAGTTCAAGCTTATATAGTTCAACACTTTGTTGTGAATAGATCCATCAAACACAAGTGCTGCAGGGTCTAAAGCAGAAACGTGTGTACGTGTGATGTACTCTTGAGTGATGTTCTTGGATATGATGGGTTTGTGATGGAAAATCAGAACAGCAAAAAAGTATTGTAACATAGAAACCATCATGTTCATTTGCTTCTTCTCAGTATAATAAAACTAGCTACAACTAAAGTCATTTATTAGTGAGCTGATCCACATTGTCTCATATTTAGTAAAGTCAGGTTTTCTGGTTTTCTGTTGGCAAATAGATAAAATGTTCAATTATTATTTATGAGAATCCAATTTTTCATTTATTTTCAGCTCATTGGTTATATATTAGAAATGTTTTCTTTAATCAGTGTTYTTAGAAGTGCATGTTAATTCAAGACAAAAAAATAGTTATAATTTCACTAGAAAGATAATTTTGTGGCACAAAATGCAAAAACTGAAAGTCCCCCCCCCCCAACAAATCCTGGCACAGCTGCATCCTGGTGACTCAATTCTAAACACACCATGTGTCACACAAGAATCTTTTCAGGAGAACAAAAGCTATAACCTACCATTGTTATGAACATGGTCTTCCAGCATCTCATTGTTGAGAATGCTGCAGAGCTCGGACAGGGTTTCCAGGTGGATAATGTGGATGATTAGAGGCCGCAGGACGTCATACAGGGACAAACATAACTGCTCTAGCAGTTTGCTGTTGAGACATTAAAGAAAGAAAAAAAACACGTTTGATTGCTTTGGATGGCTAAAAATATGATTTCTGAACAGTTTAATTTATGTTAGGAATAAACATATGAGCATATGCAGAACCTTTTTGAGCTTTAATAATAATACAAATTGTTTAAATAACAATAATACTTTTAATTTATTCAGTGCTTATCAAGGTACCTAAGGCCGCTCAACAGAGATAGGAAAAAAAAAAGTATTTCAAACACTGAACACATTGCACAGCACAACACCTTCAAACACAAACAAAACAATGGCTCTGTGTTTGTGTGCTCAGTGATCATGTTACTAATGAGGCAGGTGTTACTCACTCCAGTTTAGATGTGGGCTTAGAGAAGAACTCGTTGTATAGTTGGTGCTCATCCTGGCAGACGTGAACCATAAAGGCACAGCCACTGCGAACCTGCTCAAACACAAAATAAACATCATGATCAAGCGCTGCACTGCCGCAAATACTTTGTTTCTGCTCCACTTCAAACAAGCACATGCATCCTCCCCCATAAAATACTGTGGACAACAACTGTATTACAGCAGTCATTAACAAGATGCATTACCTTTCTGGTTGCATTTTTAAAAAAAGGCGGACAGGGAGTGTGGCTTTTATTAGGTTTCATTGCAGGAAATTCTGACCTTTAATTATAGCAGCCCCATCAAGCCAATTAGTGAAGTGTTTTAAATGCCACAACAGTGTCGGACACTGGCTGTCCAGGTGTCAGAATATGATCCGTTTCATCTGAAGTATTAATTTGAATAAATATATTTCACCATTAGTTAGGTCTGTTAAATTTTGCAACACAGGAGGAACACCAGGATAATAAATTACAGCTTTATGGATGAGATATAACCGATGGTCTACCAACAACAGAGTCCCTACACAGCAGTAAGTCCTAGATGCCTGCTGTACAAAATCTAAGCTTGTGCTCATTTATCATGTGCACAGCTTTGTGTCCGTACAAAACACTCCAGTAAATTTCCCAGAGGGTCCATACTGGGCATTCTTTGCAAGCTCAAAATGTCATTTTTACAATATCTAAAGGGCAGTTCACGCTTTGAACTGCTCATGCCTTACCAGGGCACAGTGGTCTTTGCTGTTCTGGTTTGTCAGTTCAGTAATGGTGGATGTGATGCTGGGACTGAGCAGCTGCTCTCGCTGGTCAAGGTAGCACTGGTGGATTTCGTCAAGGAGCTGATGGTATCTGCTCGCATCAATACAAGGAGGAATGAGTTAATTTCGCAAAAAAAAAAATATATATATATATATATATATAACAGGAGCATCAATCCTGAAGAAACAATACTAACTCTGGAATCTTCTCTGCTCGCTGTTCAACCTGTTCAATCAGTGACTGAAGGAAAAAAAAGACGTCAATGAAAATCTCATTCTAATACAGAAAATGGTTCATGCAAAATGATGTGCTGCATAAAGAAATACTTACCCTAACTTTAGGTGCAGCTGCTCTAAACTTAACATAATATAGTGTAAAGGCGTTGTCAGCGTTGGTCAAACCCATTGGATCCTGAGGGGCAGAAAAAAAAGGGTTAAGTATTGACAATGAAATCTGCACATACAGTATCTGTGCTTCTATACAGAGCTGTTGACTGTGTAGGAGGAGGAAATGTGAGGTTTTCTCACCCTTTTCGTTAACTGGCTTGTAAGATTCTGCAAAGTGTTTACAATGTGGATCTTCATGAAGTGCATAGCTTTAGAAAGACATTGTTTAAACTTGGCCAAATAAACCGGGTAGTCCTTGAAGTTTGGCTGCAATCAAAAAAAGACAAGCATTAGAAAGTTGTAAGTGTGGTGACAAAATGCATGGATTACATTATAAACACATTTCTGCAGTAATGACACATTTGGCGCTAGCAACTTAAAAAATCTAAAAAACAATACATCATTGTTGTTTGTGGCGCATGCTCATTACATAAAAACAACAGTGGGCAAGCGCGAGATAAGCTGTGATTTCATTGTTTTCCATTTTACACGTACACACAGATGCACAGAAACAGAAACTTTGAAAATCTGCACTCTGGAAAGCGTTTGTAAAGATCTACGTTGTTGACAAGAGGCTCAAATACAAAGCAAATATAAATATGATTTATTTAGATTTTGCAAAATGTCTGCATAAGTGAAGAATAGGCGTAAATGTGCAATTATTTCACAGGAGGTATTCTAATGCATTGCTTCTTGAAAACAAAAACTATGATCTAGTATATAATTTTCTAACGCTAGCAATAAAATGAGATCAACACAAACAGAAATTCTGTCATGGGTGCAGGCTGCTTACATGTGAAGAAACATATTCAATGCAGTCATCCAATTTCGACAGCATTGGTATAAAGCCTTCACTATTTACAGACAAGGTTGGCGAGTTCAGTTTCTGCAATGACAAAGAAAATGTTAGGTTCAAGGTCTTAACAAAAACAATTATAATCTTCAAGCTCTTGGTCATTTTTTTCTTTTCCACCTTCAAAGATTTCAGATGGGGTGAAAAAGTGTCTTATTCAGTAAATACATTTTTATAAAACTCTTACATTAGAAACATAGCTTACATTACATTAAGGATAATGTTTTAATCAGTAACATAGCTGCTGGTTTATAATTAAATAAGGCTTATACACAATTAAACAATGAAGTGACACGTCATTGACGGTACATGCATTCAGTTTACAAATGTTTAAAGATGTATACACAAAAAGAAACACAGCCTACCGTGTTGATGTTCTCCAACTCATTAAAATATGACAGTTTCTGCTGTATGTTCTCTGCCAGGTCAACAAGCTCGGACTGCGAAGACAGAGTGACACAAGGTTTCTACAGTGTGATCGGAAAGATCTCAGACCACTTTAACTCATGTCACATTTTATTATGTTGTAGCCTTATGCTATAAATCAAACAGAAATTCACTTTTTCTATCTATCAGTCAAAACGTTTACAGGCAGTTCTCTGTGTGTCTGTGTGTGTGTGTGTGGGTGTGTGGGTGTGTGTGTGTGTGTGATCATAAAATGTGTTCCTGGAGAAACAGACAGTAGCAGGAACTAACACAGAGGTGTTTTCGAGAATCTTGGCAGCTGTTCAAACAAGTATTTGAAAAGCGACTCAATGGATTTGAAACAAAGCCATCAAGATGCAATTGAAGTCTGGACTTTCAACTTTATTTCAAGGAGTTTAATAAAACATCACATCAAATATTTAGGAATTACGGCCATTTAAAACTGTTTTGTATCGTTTTTTTTCCTGACATCCTTCTGTTTCAGAAGCTTAGAGTAATAAGACAAATTGACATCAGTCAATCGGTTTCATGGCCAGGCGTGGTGTTCCCTCATTATTTCATGACAAACTAATCAGACAAAAAAAAGCCTGGAGTTGATTCCAAGTGTTGAATTTGCATTTGGTAGCTGTTCCAAGAGATCTCTCAATATTCGGTCCAAAGAGTTGCTGGTGCAGGGTGAAGGAGGCCATCATTAGAGTGAGGAACCAAAACAAACCTCTCAGGCAGATGGCAGAAACTTTGAGAGTAGCCAAATCAAGTATTTGGTTCAGTCCTAAAAAGCGGGAAGGCACTGGCAGGCTCAACAACACCAAACACCCTGGAAGACCACTGAATACAACTGAAGTGGATGATGGCAGGAATCTTCCCGTGGTAAACAAAACTTTTTCACAAGAACTAGCTGGTCTCAAGGAGGTAGACATTGTCTGCAAGTCCACATTCAGGCCTTCATGAAAGTAAATGAAGAGCGTTTACCACAAGGTGCAAAACACTATAACACTCCAAAACAAAAAGTCCAGAGCATACTTATCCAGAACAAAGCCCTGAGCCTGCCATGGTCTGAAAAAGACTCTTTAGACAGATGGAAACAAGATGAACTTGTACCAGAATGATTGGAAGAGAAGGAAAAGGAACCGCTCAACATCTAAATCATCTGTCAAACATGGTGCAGGTAGTTTTAAGGCCCCAGCATGCAAGGCTAGATGAATGAAATATTCTCACTCATTACTAATCTAATGGCTGATGTATTTGTAATGTTTAACAGGGATGAATAAACACTACTACTTTATAAGCAGATCGATTTCATCCAAGATTATAATATATATCTCAAATTAAGGACAATTTTATTGCAGGTGGCATTGGCGAAACAAGATTTAACAAGGTAACTTGAATCGAAGACCAAACCTATGAAACAACCATTTAGAAATAACATGCACCCCTCATTTAGCCTGTATGAGGAAATTAGAGAAAAAAACATTAAAATAGAAGTGCTGAACAGAGCAGTTGAATGAAAGGGGGTAAAAAAAATCGCTACATGGAGTGATGCTTACTTCAGAATGATTGGAAACACCATGAACTATCAAGTTCAGACCATCATGACACAGATAAAAGCTTGTCTGAAAATAAAATTGCTACCAAGCATTCTGCAGTCTGCTCTGTCTGGGGCGTATTTAATATGTTATTGACTCTGCAGTTTTCATTGTTTTTCTATCTATTTTTTTGCCTTTTTGTACTTATTAGGATATAACAGCAAAAGTGAGTCAGGAAACGTGGTGAAAGACAAAGAGAATAACATGCAGTAAATGATCCGGCCAGCCAGGAGTGGAAAACGCTCTTTGAGGCATAAGTGCCCATGAACTGATGGCTCTAACTATTCTCCAATTGGGTGGCCCAAGCTTTTTTTTTCACTCTTGCAGGCTGATGCTCACAGATATAATGATCATGGGGGGCACTGGTGCCAAACCCAGCTGACATGGGACAAGAGGCACCATACACTCTGGAAAGTTCAGTATATATAAACTGTTCACGTAGTTTTTTATTTTAAATATGTGTCAATGTCCAAATACCTATGTGTACGGTGTACGGTGTCTATGGTAATACGTGCTACAGTTGGTGTAGTTTGCCATTACACACACACTCATACACACAAGATAAAAAGCACTGGTTGAAAGATCGGCCATGCAGTTGAGACTGGTAAACATTTCCCACTGATCATGTCTCACCAATAGACTGGTCATATAAATAAAGCAGGATTTAAACACAGAAAGAACAGCAGTCATCCTACCTGTTCTTTTAGGAGTTGTTCACAGGCTTCATGCAGGGTCCCAGTCTTGTTGGACACAAAGAGGTATTGTTTCTGAAGGGAGTCCAAGTGCTCCAGAGCTGCACTGACATCAGTCAGAATAGCATCACATTGTTCCTGGTAGCAGTTTAGATCATCTCTGGTTCTCCTGAAAGGAAAGCAAAGCGTCATCTGTGATGTTTTGCATATCAGTTTTATCTTTTTTTTTTTTTTTTT